CGAGGCAAACCGAACAGGTGTTCGTTTTTTTGCTCAACCCTAGTTGGCACTGGTGAGTAGCATTGAAATCGAGTAGGAGCACATATGGTCTGCAGTCACTGTATTCAAAAAGATATTCTTGCTCGTTCCTACCTCACAGCCACTGGAAGGACCACTACATATGAATAAGGCAATGAAAAGTTTTCTACTTTATGCGAATGTGGTGGTAAAACGCAAGATCCACATACATCCGGCAACAAACTGGCATCTTCATGCGGATTTGACAGATTGTGGCGAGGCATACACGCTCGTTCTGGCTCGATTGGTTGCGTATCATAAATGAGCCACAGGCCTAATAAGCTGCCCACTCATCTCGTCGGCCAGTCAGTTCGTTGTGCAATGGAATGACTAAGCTGGTCATAGGCCTATGCTCAAACCCACTATTCGTAGGAGCCTTGCATTTGTGAGTCATTTCCAACAGCTCCAAATGCTCATACGGCCGAGCTTGGACCCTCTAGTCATGATGTAGTTCAAATTGAATGGCGTGGGACAGCGTGGTTCGGCCAGCCTGTTTGGAACACGTTACGGACTGCCCTTTTTGCATGTACCGCTTGTCGATCTCAGCCTCGCAATTACTAGCCCGGCCTGTTGGGTCAGCTTGCTGCAGAAAATTCATGTACAATGACTAGTTGTATCATGGTCTGAGCCCACCAACTAGTCGCCTTGCTGCAAATCTCTGACAAACTTGCTGTAGAACCGACCTACCATAGGCCGCCCCCCAGGCCCTGGGTTAGCGGGCTAGCTCAACCCAGCACCAGCCCGTGGTCATGCCTAGCATATATGCTTGTTCTCAAATCAAGTTGACTTGGTGTCGCCATCGCAATCCCTCTAATTTCTGAACACGTACCATGTCATGTTGGCTCTCTTTCCTATTCCCTTCACGATACTCACAATATATGGAGGTTGCTTAGGCTACCGATGGTGGATGGAATAGACCCACTCAGAGAATTGTCGTTAAGATACCTAATGATGCAACATATGAAGGGTGTATGGGCGCACATAAAGAAATACAGCAAGAAAAACAATACCTCAATTTATGGACACATGAGTATGGCTGCATATAAGGCAGATACGATCAAACCATTGCTACAGAGCGCATGAAAACGGTGCCATGAAAGTAATAAAAAAAATAGAACTGAACTAAAATGTAGGAGAGGGATGAGTGAACATGACATGCTGATATGTGGTTTGTGATGTAAGCTACCTATTCTAGAAGGTGCTTGATTGTGAGCACACCAGAAAGAAACTACTGAACTTTAACATCGAACCATCACACAATGCTGCAAGAAACAACCACTACATTTAGTGAAAGCAAATGAAACCAATTGAGGTAGTCTTAAGTGTTGAACAAGCACATAGTCACGACGCGTTACACACACTCAGTTTGGCAGTTATGGGTGGCTGCAAAAGTGGAAGACGCCACGACGAGATGTGAATGTGATCATAGGACGAGGTACCTAGCCTAGTAGGTACCTCCAGGTGTTAGCACAAACAGGGTTTCTACATTTCAACACTATGTAACAGATTTTTTTGAAGGGGCAACAGGAGATATCATAAGGGGTGCTGGTCTAAAATGCTACGCAAGCACACAAACACGTAGAGCCAAAGGAGCAGTGAGGAGTGCACCATGCAGACCGATGATGACCAGTTGCCAAAGTGGATAACCGGTTGTACATATGGTGCTTATATAGTGAATGATGTGCCGGGGTAGCCGAATGTTAGCATTTTGACACTAGATAATGAATGGACAGATTGACCAACCCCTTATATTATTGTCAATGTGCATAAAAATGCACATAACCTTGCCCATGTATCTTACCGCCAGATCAGGGGCACCCTGTGAGTCTAATGTGAAGCGATTCGCAGTAAATCCCGCTCACCAGTGTGAGTGGTGAGACAGACCATCATGAGTTATGAACCACGAGTTAGTTACGAGCTACACTTCAGGACCATATAGTGAGGCTAATGTAGAGCGATTTGCAGCAAATCCTGCTCACCACTGTGAGTGGCGAGACGGACCGGCTCACAATGGTGACAGGTCGCTGTGGGCACACAAGAGGAATGGCTGCATCCTCTCTCTGCTAGATCAGGGGCACCTTACATCCCAAGTACCTCGCATTCGCGCTGGCACAGATACTCCCTCCTCCTCATGCATAGCTTCGTCTGACTCGAATTTCGAACCATGATAGTTGGTCTCTTATGCTCCCACTACAGGTTTGCACACGCGTCTGCCCAGTGATGCTGCCTCCCTTGGTCCCAGACGCACTCTTCCCTCTGGGGGTGAAAATTACTCGTCCACATTTCCTCCTAGGACCCAGCTGCTGAGAATGATGCCATACCAGTCTCCATTATTTGTGGACCAGCAGGCAGTGCTGCAGCTGAGAGGATGGAGCTCGCTTGAGGCCATCGAACGCTCACCAAGAGGCCAGGAAGCTTCTTTGTGAGCTCCCTCGTGCTTATGGAGCACCCAAACATGGGATCGGTGAGGGGGCTTGCTACTGGTGTCCCAAGGAGGTGTGTGTGCTGGCAAGGTTTCTTCTACGGTTGCATCATACTGGGGGACTGGCCGTGAATTTGCTGGGAGGCTGGAGGTATCCCTGGTGGAACACACACATAAGGTGACTCGGATGACAAGGTTGGGTCTTTTTACCTGACATGTGAGTTGAGGTGGATAAACCCTTGACGCTGGTGAATAACATTGTATCTGAATAAGACCAAACGTGGTTTCCATCCGGAGTGGACATTTAGCTCAAAAAGGACCCAAAGGAGATCGTGATCTTATTGTTTGTCACCCAAGTGTGCACACTGACAGTTTTAAAAACCATCAACGCTTCCATATCCACGATCTTGATGGTTAAGAAGTGGACGGCACGTGACTTGCAAGGTTCCTCACACGGCTTGGCCACGTGAGTGGCAGTGGCAAGTGGCACCGAGATTGTAAGTCATACCCTGCTGAGAGGACACCATCGTTGTCTGTGTCTTCGGTGATTTGAACCACTAGTGAGTGCTTTGTCGATCCCCATCACAGAGGAAAGCTCTCTCACCACGTCACCATGGGCGAGCGGGAGAGATCTCTCTCACATCTAATCAGACGGGCTGCGACGAGCCATGCCTGCTTGTCCCGGCTCACGTATGTCACACAGGCCAAATCAGCCGCCCACTTGGCTGGTCTGCGAGTCAGCTCATTGTGGACCGAAACAACCTTGATGTGAATGGAACATAAGCATGCTCCCAGTCAAAGGCGTCATGAGTGCATTGGCCATGTTCATATGGCTGAATTAGGGCACGCACGGTCGGGCCAGCCTCTGATGCATATGGGCTTGCAAATGGGCTGATCGTGCAGAACTTCTTGCAAGTTCAGCACGATCGGGCCAGCCAATTTGCAAGCACGAACATCTCTCTGCACTGCAAAAAGGTCATGTACTATGGCCAGTCCTATGCTCTTTGCCAGATCGACACGGATCAAACCAGCGTATTGCCGTCCTTGTGCAAATTCGTGGGCGAACCCCAGCCTATCTCCTTGCGGCAGTCCTCTCCATCACAGGCCGGCTTGCTAATTTCAGTATGTATATGAGATTAGGAAGATATATATATATATATATTTATATATTGTTAATAAAGAGGGCTACCTTAGGTTTGATAGGAGGATTCCTGTTCTTTTATTAAAGCTCACTTAGGTTTGACCAAATATGAGGGCAGCTTGAGAATGGTTGGATTTGGTATGACGAACTGATGGTAGCTATATCTCATGGCCATGGGTCGTCATCCTTCACTGCTGGCTTGATTTCAAGGAACATCACTCTCAATATCCTGCTCACGCATGAAGAAAAATGAGTCTCCCTAGCCCATGCATCATAATTGTTTGAACATTGCAGGACTTTATTGTGAGGCTAATGTGCAGAGATCGGGGGCAGACCCTGGTTAACAGGAGGAAACCACTGAGAGTGGCACGCTGGACTGGTGATGCGTCACCGCGGGCGGGAGAGATCTCCCTCGCAAGTGCTCTGCCAATTTTGGTCACTGCCATGCACCGCCTCCCTTCCCGGCCTTGAGTTTCAAAGTGCTAAGTGGTTCAATCATGTGGGCCAAAGTATACCTGCTTAGCGAAGCCCAAATCCAGCTTAATCTGTAGTTTCAGGATTAATTAGCCATGCAAATGAGAGTTATCGATTAAATTCCTTGGATACGGACAAGTATTCAAGGCTGATCATGTTGCCGATGGTGGATGGAATCGAACCACTGAAACTGTTAATTGATAGATCCCTGATGGTACATACAACTAGGGATGAGCAAAATCCCGAATGCCTGTTCGGTTCGCCTCGAACAACAGGCAATTTGTTTTGCCAGAATTGTTCGAGCCGAACATGTTCGGTGTTCGGCCGAACATGTTCGACATTCGCCCAGAATTTCGGGTCTCCAAGCCGAATACGAACATGTTCGTGTTCGACTTGGGGGCCACGCGAACACCAAAAAGGTTCGCGTCAAAATTGGCCGCGACCAGATTTAGGTCGCGGCCAATTTGTGTTTGAGCTCATTTCGTGAGGTTAAACTCAGAACTTGTTTTCACCTTAGCGCTCCCTCACACAGCCGCCCTAGCCTCCTTGTTCTAGGTGCAAGCAAGTGCACGCTGATACTTGCAATGTACACTGACATTAGATCTATGCATAGGGTTTAATGTAGTGTAGGGTGTTTAGGGTTACTATTAAGGTTCAGCCAGCATCTCCGCAAAGGGCTCAAGTAGGGCGTATCCTACGCCGTAGGATTCGGATCTGGCATTTCAGAGACCTAACTGTGCGGGATAACGTTTAGGAACGTGCGGCACCATCCAACGCTACCGTTGCAGGAAGGGTGTTTTAGGGTTTAGGGTCGAGGGCGGAGTTATGGCTTCCAGGGCTGGTGGATCCATAGGCCGAGGTGCAGGCAGGGCTCAGGGCAGCGCACCGGGATCTCCACCACGACCTATGCAGGGGCGAGTAGGAGATGGACCGGGAGGAGCCGGCGCGATCTTCGTTGGGGGGTTGCTTACCGTACCGGCGCCGACCTCTCGTCGCTCTTTCCGTTACGACGGCCCTCGACCCCCTCCTTCGGGGCAGACGCAGACGCAGCCGGAGAGCGGCAGTGAGGAGGAGGATGAGGAGGAGGATGGTGAGGGCGAGAAGGAGGAGGACACTGAGGGGAGCGGGGATGACAGCGAGGCGGCGTGGAACCCAGAGACGCATGGCGGTGGGGAGGGGGGAGATGATGATGATGAAGACCACGAGATGGATGTGTTGGAGCCAAAGGGGCGGGAGGAGAAAAGGTGGGAGAGGATGGTGGAAGGGCGGCGACAGAGGCGGGATCACAGCATGTGCGTGAAGGGGGAGGGAGCGTGGGGGTTAAGGTGGGGGGGAGAAAGGCCGTAACCATTAGGGAGCCGAGGCAGAGGAAGAAGGCCAACAAGTTGAGGGAGCGGGCGTATCCCTGCACGTTCACTGGGGAGCCCTTGGGCGAGGGTGTGATCGCTCCCGAGTTCCTAGACGAGGACGGAGGGTCCGAGAGTAGTAAGGGGACTGGCAAGGGTAATAGGAAGCCGGGGTGGCAAGTAATGATGTTCGGACCGTTAGGGGCAGACGATAAGCGTCAGTGCAAGATTTGCACAGACAGGATTTCGCGGAAGCAATCCACAACAACCCCCGGCGAGCGGCACTTTGCGAGCTTCCACACTGCGCACATGCATGTGTGGCGTCACCGTTACCACACCCCATCCGTTCACTTGCCAGGGGAGACGTTTCCCCGTGGGGGCTACAAGGGAGTGCCGGATGGCTACGTATATCAGTGGCCACATGCCAAGACTTGGCCGCAGCTCGCCAAGGAGAAAGGGATGGCGATTGGTGGAGGTCATGGTTCAGGCGGGATGGAGCGGTGGATGACAACCAAACTGACCTCGGTGCAGCTACGGCAGGCGATCACAAAGCTGGTGGTCACCTGCAACCTCCCCTTCCGCATCGTCGAGGCCGAGGCTGTAAGTGCCCCATCCCATCCCATGCATGATTGGGCAAGCATGTGGTTAGTGGACGGGTCTGTCCCTTTGTGTTTTGACTGTTTGCGCGTGGCCCAGTGCAGTGCTATATTATTTTCATCCCATCCCCCTGACGTTTACTCCCCTCTCCCCCCTTGTCTCTACCCCTCTCCAGTTTCGTGAGCTACTCATCCTGCTAAACCGCAACTGCGCGCAGAAGAACTTCATCCCCTCGCGCTGGACGGTTTCCCGCGACACAGTGGTCTATGCGGCTGCCGCTCTTCAGTCAGCCATTGCGGAGATGCTGACGAAGGAGGGGGAGCTGGGGTGCAGGGTGTCGTTCACCATCGACATGTGGACGTCGCCCAACAACAGGGCGTGGCTAGTGGTAACGGGTCACTGGATCGACGAGAATTACCAGCTGCGCACAATGGTGTTTGAATTCCGCGAGATTCACGGGCGTCACACGGGCAAGCAGATGGCGAGGGTGGTTGAGGAGACGGTGGTGCAGTGGGGGTTGGAGACGCGTTGTCTTGGGTTCACCTCAGACAACGCCTCCAGCAACACTGCCGCTTTCAGGTGGATGTCGGAGGAGGGTGGTGGCCAGTGCTTCTTCAGCTCGCGCATGCACTTACGGTACGAAAGGGAGTGTGCGATGAGGGAGTCTGGGTGCGTCGTTCCTGTGAACATGTTGTGGTTGTAGTACGGGCGGGTGGGCCTATGCGGCTTGAGAGTGGTAGTGTTTCTCGGGTCTATGCCAATGTGTACTCACACTTCCCTTTCTCTCCGCCATGAATGTTTTGTGATGTGCGCAGATGCCTGGCACACGTGATCAACCTTGCAGTGAAGGCAGCACTCGCTGTGACCGCCATCCGCAAGTTGCTGAAGATTCTGAGAGAGATGGCGTCGTGGATAGGCTTCTCGCCGCAGCGCTCAGGGAAGTTCTTGGGCCTTCAGCGGACCCTGAACGCGCAGGGCAACCCCGCCAAACCGAAGCCGGCATTGAAGTTGGTGCAGGACAGTCCCACACGCTGGGGGTCGACCCACGACATGGTCGAGCGAGCTGGGGTTCTGCAGGAACCCATCTCTGTCTTCTTTGCCCAGACACAGGTGTGTGTGTGTGCCAGGTGTTGTGTATGCGGTTTTATGTGTTGGTATGTCGGTCGGGGTGTTTTGTTCTGGGACTTGCACCACTGTTGACCATGCTTGACTAAACTTATCGGACCTCCAACAACCTCAACCACCCCACTTTCCACCCTAACACCCGCCCACCCATACGTTCTACCCGACAGGGCGTGTCGAAGGCTGACAAGGCGAAGATGGACACCTTGCGCCTGACGGACGCAGACTCCGAGACTCTGCATTCTGTCAAGACCTTCCTCAGCCCATTCGCCAAAGTCTCAAAGGCCGCGGAGGGAGCGGCGTACCCTACAGTGGCGATGGTCCTGCCGTACTACAACGGCCTGATCGGCGCTATGGAGTCGCGCCTTGCCAAGGGGCCATTGGCTACGCTGAAGCCGATGATTGAGGCGGCGCTGAGTCTCTTGAAGAAGTATGAACTGATGTCAAGCAGCGAGTTGTGGATCGCGACCTTCCTGGACCCTTCCATGAAGGCGGCGTGGTTCGACGACGCGCACTGGGAGACGCTGCATCCCGATACCGACCGGAGGGCGAGGCCTCGTCCCTTGTTAGGCGAGCTGATCCAGCTGGTTCGCGAGCGCGTGGCCAAGTACCAGGCCCGGGCTGCAGCGATTGCCCCTCGGCCGACCTTACTTGCCCCAGTGACGGAGGAGGAGGAGGGAGACGCGGCGGATGACGACGAAGACGCCGAGTTTCTCCCTAGTCGCCGACGCCTTGCGGCGCTTCTGTCGGCGAGCCAGGAGGCGGGGAGGGGTGGGATGGTGCAGGATGACGAGGTTGGCAGGTACTTATCTGAGAGGGTGCGGTGCGACGTGTCAGCGTTGGAGTATTGGCGCAGCACCACCAACATGCAGACGCTGAGGCGCATGGCCCAGGATTATCTTGCCATCCCTGCCACGTCCGCGTCGAGCGAGCGCGTGTTCTCCCTCGGCCGCAACCTCATTTCTTGGAAGCGGCACCGCCTAGCCTCTTAGAGGACGCGAGCTTCCATGATTCTCAGATCATGGTACACCTCACACCCTGGACAGAGGATAGGCGAGGGCCGCCGTGCAAAAGGCGAGGCACCACCAGAGTTCGCCATTGAAGGCAAGGGGGAGGAGGAGGACGACGAGTGGGAGGAGGAGGAGGGGGAGGAGGAGGAGCAAGAGGGGGTGGGTGCTGGCGACACCTCTGACGCGGAGCATGCTGTTGTTGGTAGTAGCAGTGGTGTGCAGGCGTAGGATTTAATTTGACAGTGACTTTTATATAGGCAAAACATGATGGTGTGGTATGCTGGAGTGCGTTGCATGAACACATATACACCCTCCACCCCCCTATCTATCTTCCCAACCCTCCAGATTCCCTGTTTGACCAATGTGATTATAACGAAATTGCCCACGGGCGAACTCAAACATGTTCGGTTCGAACATGTTCGAGTTCGCCCACATATACCAAATGTTCGCCCCCATGGGCGAACGGCGAACACCTCCTGCTAGCCAAATTATTCGCCGAACCGAACCTTGTTCGGTTCGGGAAATGGTGATGTTCGAGCGAACTCGAACCCGAGCGTGTTCGAGTTCGCCCTTTGCTCATCCCTACATACAACCAAAGGGGGCCAAGAAAGAGAGAGATAGAGTCAGTAGTTGGTGGGAGAGGGGAGTGGAAATAGAATGTGTAAAATCCAAGAGTGTTAAACTCGTACTTATACTAGCTTACACACACCATAATAGGAGGTGTTGGAAGTAGAAGTTGTTCCGCTCAAATTTCAAGTACCTATCCCAATAAGTGCCTCCAAGCGTGAGCGCAAACATGTTTCCTATACTTAAGTTCGACTTTCTACCACATTTTTATAAGGAGCAAACATCCCAAGAATGGACAACAAGAGATGCCATGATTGGGGCTGTTCTGAATGTTGCATAAGCACGCAAACATGTGTACACCAAAGCAGGGGTGAAAAGTATAGCCTGCAGATTGATGACAAGAGGCTAAAGTGGATCACCAGATTGACAAATGTGCTTGAGACGCTGAGCTGGGATGGCCAAATGTTAACATTTAGACCGTGAGTGCAAAATGGACAACACAACCCTTGAAAATGTTTGTCCATGTACATGAGAAAACAATTTGGAGGCTCCGCTTGTGGGGCCTGATAGCCTAGCATTTCTTCATAGTTGAGGTTGTGACTACCAACAGATCTATAGAGAAGACGGAGATGATTGTGTCAGAGATAAGCACGCGAAATCATGGTTACAGCACTTACTCCAAGGGGGAATACAAGATCCTAATCTCCCATTGCAGATTCAGAGGGGAATGGCAAGTTTTACAAGCTCAAAAGGGATGTTTGCAGTCACAAGTGAAACCGGGGCCGGTTGGATTAAATTTTATCTTCACAGTTATACAGGTGTATATCTTGCTCATCTGGCAATGAGTGAGCGTTTGGAACAGATTGGCCTTAAGAATTATCATCTAGCGGATTTGATGGGAAGATGGTTCATGAGAAAAATTGGTGAGCTCACGATTAGCTTAGTGTTTACCATTTCAGAGAGAGGCGGCTTATTAGTAGTTGGTGGAGCTAAGACTCGATTAGGAAGTAATGGCGTCTTTTGTGGAACTCATGGAAGTTTTGTGGTCTTCTTGGGACTTTTCTCTTCATGACAAGTCTAATCTGAGAGGTTTTCGCTTTCACTCCTTCCATGTATGGAGGATTCAACAACTCCCTATGTGGAGAGTTCGGCTACAGACCCATCCCGACCCAACCCAATTTTCCTGACCCGGCCTTTTACAGATGGGTCATTTTCGACCAGGGCCTCGGTCAGGTCAACCCGAACCAGGGTCGGGTGTTTATTTGTACCCTCTTCTTGCCAGCCAATCTGAGCGGATCGGCGGTTTCACCTGCCGGTCTGCCTGGATCGGGAAATTCCAAAGCTCACCGCTAATTCACCACTGAGGTTCTCCCGTGCGGGCCAATGTGCCTCATACTTCTATGAGCTTAATTTCTTACGTGAGCATCTCCCGACTCACTCCCCTACTTGAACGTCATCACAGGACTGAGCGCAGAGTGCTCGTTGGTCAATACGCTGGTTTCGCAGCACGAGGCATATGCCTGCCCATCCGGACGGGCCCCACACCTACCCAACCTTGTCGTGGGTGCAACGTATCCGGTGCATCATCTGAGTTGGTAGCTGATACCTCAGTCCTTGGACGAGATTCCCCTGGTTATGCTAGCATTGGTCCAGCGGGGGAATGTTGGCTGACTCTCTCGCCAGTCCAAGGGCACCTTCCACCCCAAATGCACCGGTCCAAGAACAACCTTACGACACATAGATTATTGTGAGATTTATGTGGCCATCATGATTAAATATCTACACCCAGTATTACCACAAGCTTTTACCCTCGGATCGTAAAAAAGGTCGCAAGGATCCTGGGCATGTCGTACGAGGTTTGCGCGGGGCTATGATTCAAGGCAAACCAGTGCAGTTCGACCTTTGACAGGCTGGCCGGATTCGGACAGGCTCGCCAATTGTTCAGCCCAGACCAAGTTTTCATGTTTGCTTATGCCTCGCGCGGGGTACATTACTGGTGATGGCATCCGTCCTTCGCACATACTCGTGCGTTGTTGGTAGGACCCATATATTGGTGTATAGGGGGAATGGCGCCAGAATCTCCCCACCACTTCAGTTCCAGAGAATTTCACGCTCAATCTCGTGCCCACGTTTGGAAGATTCAAATCTCTCTTGCCCATATACCTAGAAATTTGAACATTACAGGGTCTTGTCGCGAGGCTTATGACCAGAGATCGACAGTAGACCCCCGGTACCCAAGAGGTCACCACTCTGATTTGCGGCCTGGACTGGTGAAACGTCACATGGGCGGGAGAGATTTCCCTCGTATCTGCTGTGCCAATGTTGGTCACCGCCATGCACCGTCTCCTTCCCCAGCCAGGGCTAAAGTGCACAGTGCTTCAGCCATGTGGGCAAAAGTGTACTTGGTTAGCAAAGCCTGAAATCCTCCTTTTCTCAGCAGCCATCATCCCCTGCTCGGCTGTCATTACAGTGCTGAGAAAAGGTGTGTCGGGCAGCATGCGAAGCGTAGGTCTGCCAACCAGGACGGGCTCCATACTTGCCGGTCGTTGCTGCAGCTGCAAAATCAGCGGCACTGGCTGCCTCTGCAGCAAGTCCAGCCTTGGAAAAGATTCCCCTGGTGATGGAGACATCGGCGCAGCAAGGGAATTGCCGGAATCTCCCCACGAATTCCACCCCGAATGGATCTCGAGTCAAATCTGTGCTGCTGCATACGCTCCCTCCTCACACGAAGCTTCCTATGGGACCATCACGAGTTATGAACCGCGGCAATGGGCTTCCATTCTTCCTGCCACAGATCCGCACACTCGACCCACTGCTGCCACCTCCCTTGGTCCTGGACGCACCTGTCTCTCCTGGGTGAACTTTCCCCTGTCCACATTTCCTCATAGGACACAGCCACCGCCACTGGTGCCATGCCAGCCTCCTTGTGGATGAGCAGGCTGAAGCTGTAGCGGAGAGGATGGAGCTTGTGGCTATTGCAGGCTCAGGAGGAGACCAGCAAGTTGCTCATGAGCTCCCACATGCTTGTGGAA